AGAGGCCGCGCGCCGCGCCCTGCGTTCCCCGCGCGCCGGGCTCATTGGCCGCGCAGCCCCGACGCCCCGTCGTTTCCTACGCGACGCACCGCCTTTTCCTGTGCTCAGCAGCCCCGAGGCACGCCGGGGCCGAGTCCCGCCCAGGCGCCGTGCGGGCGGGGGCTCCGGGCGGCGGTGACCTTCTGAAGGTCACTCGGGGCTGGAAGGTTCGGGGAGCTGTCGGGGTCCACCGCCCGGGACGCGCTTCCCTCGACATACCACCGGGCCCACGTGCCCGCGCGCATCCCCGGGGAGCGAGTCGGGGTCAATTGGGGTGAAGGGTCGGACGGTGTACGCCCGTCTCCCTTACCTTCTCCTTTCTTTTTTTTTTTCCCGCCCAGGATGAAACCTTTTAATGGGAGACGGACGTGTTCAGTGAAACTCTCAGACCCTGCTAAAGTAAAATACCTTGAGGGGATCCCTGACCCCCCCCCCTCGCGCTAAGGCGCCCCCTGGCCCCGAACGTGGCCCCGCTCGCGGTCCCTCCGTGTTCATCGTCCCAGACCCTTTAACTCCTGGCACGCAGTCCACTGGGCTTTTGGGGGCCTGGGGTACCTTGCTGTACTCCGCCCCCCAACCCCCGCAAGTCTTTCCCGCCCCCAGGCCACCAAGGGGACCGTTTCTCATCTTAACCCCTGTAGGACTCAGTGCTGAGATTTGGGGCGTGGAGATGAGCAGGAGGTCATAAGCCGTCGATATCTCTCTCGCACACACACACATACACGCACACACACTCCGTACTTCCCACCCAAAAAGTAAGGGTGTGAGAGCAAGGTGTTTTCAGACGTTTTGAACTTTCTATTGACGTATAAAACCAAAAAAACCCACTGCCATGGAGTCCATTCCGACTCAGCGACCCTGTAGGACAGAGAAGAACTGCTCCCTAGGGTTTCCAAGGCTGTCATCGTTACAGAAGCAGACTGCCACATCTCTCTCCCACAGAGCTGCTGGTGGGTTTGAACCGCTGACCTTTTGGTTCGAAGGTAAGGGCTTTAGCCATTGGGCCACAGGCGCTCGTTTATTGACGTTATCACATAGAGAAAATTGCACTATCACGCAAAGAGTTTTCATAAACTGAACACAGTCCTGTAAGAAAAGACCCTTCCTAGTAACCCAGAATAGTCTCTGGGTGGTCCATATGGTGCACACACTCACCTGCTAACCGAAAGGTTGGAAGTTCGAGTCCACCCAGAGGTGCCTCAGAAGAAAAGCCTGGTGATCTACCTCTGAAAACTCAGCCACTGAAAACCCTGTGGAGCACAGTTCTACTCTGACACCCTTAGGGGCACCATGAGTTGGGGTTGATTCGATGGAAACTGGCTTTGGTAGCAACTCAGAAGCAGCGTCCTTCCTTCCTCCTTTTTTTCCTTCCTTCCTCTCTCCCTCCCTTTCTTCTGTCTCTCTCCCTTCTTTCATTTTTCAGTCTACATCCCCAGGATGGAGAACAGTCCCTGGCACTGAATGAATGGGCGGACGGAAGGGAGCCAAGCAGAGGAGCTCAGGACACCCTGAGCCTGCCAATTTCACAGTCCCGTGTGTTTTGAGGAGCCCTGGTGGTGCAGTGGTTACGCCTTTGGCTGCTCACCAAAAGGTCAGCAGTTCGAATCCACCAGCTGCTCCTTGGAAACCCTACGGGGCAGTTCTGCTCTGTCCTATAGGGTCACTGTGACTCAGAATCGACTCGATGGCAGTGGGTTTTTGGTTTTGGTTGTGTTTTCAGAGGTTTTGAACTTTTTATTGACCTGTAACATATGAAAAATGGCACAGTCAGATTTTCACAAAGGGAACAAAATCCTGTAAGAAAAGAACCTTACTAGCACGCCTGACGAGCCCTGGGTGATGCAAGCAGTGAACGCTCTCAGTTGCTCACCACAAGGGGAACAGTCTCAGGCACTGAACGAAGAGGTGGGGGAGGGAACCACACACGAGGGCCCAGGCACCCTGAGCCTATCCATTTCCCAGTCAGCAGTGTCCTTGAAACGTCTTTCTAAGTTCTCTCTTCACCTCTGGCGCGAGGCAGGTAAGGCGCAGGGCCTGAGGCCTCGACATTCCACAGGCTTCACCTGGATTGGAGGTGGAGGTTGTCCCTGGAGGGTGGAGCTGGCTCTGAGATGGAGGACTGAAGGCAGTAGCTCCGGGCAGGGACGGGCGTCTGCTCAGGGACCGTGTCTGGGCACTGGTTTTTAACAGATGGTTCTCGTCTTTGCAGACTCATCCTGTCTGGGCGGGGACAGACCCAGGGGACAGTTATTACTGCCCGGGCTTGAGCCAACAGGGCCACGGAGCTGGAGCGTGAGGCCCTACTGGGACTCCCAGGCCCTAGAACGCGACATTTCAATGTCAATTGCGTAGACTGTCGTACAGAAGAGAAGAAAGCATCCCTCTTGAGCAGATGGGGCAGGTAACCAGTGGGTGGCCGGTCCTCCTCCCCAGAATTTGGGGGAGGAAGGAGACGCCCCTTCCCTAGGCGCTGCCTACCTTCTGGGCAGTGACCCCCGCTCTGCGCTGCGCCCCTCATGTGGTTCCTCTGAGCCCACCAAGCAGAGGCACCCTGGCCCCCAAAAGAGCGGTTTCAGAATGAGCAAAAGAACAAACTCGACATCGTCCTGACTTTGCGAGCTGGGATTCAGAACATGCTTTTCTATAGGAAGTGTTGGAAGTGGGAGGTGAGGGGTAAGCACAGTCTGTCTTCAGGGCAAGAACGGAGCGGAGGGGGTCGCGTACCTGGGAAAGGAGGGCCGGGGACAGCAGCTTGGAATTGGGAAATGGAGAGAGAACCCCCACGGGGATGGGGAAGGAGGGTTAGGCTGGGTCCCCCAAAGGTTTAGGGCCCGGGAGTCAAGGATGGAGCTCCTCACTCGGCCTGTACTCACAGCTGAATACAATGATCTCACACAGCTCAGCTGCCAACTGCAGATAGTCGGGTGATTGCCTCTGCATCCTAAAGGATCACAGTGGTCTGAAAAGTGGGTGGATTAATAAATCGTTGTTGTTGGGTGACTTCCGGTCAATTCCAACTCCTAGCAACTCTGTAGGAGAGACTACCGCTGCCCCATAGGGTTTCCTAGGCTGTAATCGTTACGGAGCCCTGGTGGCACAGTGGGTAAGAGCTTGGCTGCTAACCAAAAGGTCGGCACTTCAAATCCACCAGCTGCTCTTTTGGGAAACCCTAGGAGGCAGTTCTACTCAGCCCTATAGGGTGGCCGTGAGTCAGAATCAACAGGGCAGCAACAGGTTTTAATTTTTCCAGGAGCAGACCGCCACATTCTTCTCCTGCGGAGCCACTGGGTGGATTTGAACTGCCGACCTTTCGGTTAGCAGCCGAGAGCTTCACTGTTGCGCCACCAGGGCTCTTTCCAATAAATAAAGTAGTCCCATGAAAAGATTTTGGGTTTTAGCCCATAGCTCAGAATGAGTAGTGCAGTGGTGGGGCTGGATATTTTTTTTTGGGGGGGGGGTGAGAGGGCAGGTACTAGGAGCCAGGCATGTGTTAAATCCCTGGGAATCAGCATTCCATTAGGTGCTGCCTTCGGTAGCCTCTACTGAGGACTGGAGGGGTCCGTGCGGGGCGGGGCCGGGCGGGGCGGGGCCGAGGGGAGGGG